GAGGAGAGGAGAGGAGAGGAGAGGAGAGGAGAGGAGAGGAGAGGAGAGGAGAGGAGAGGAACTATTGATCCTCAAATTGCAGGATCCTTCTCCCTCGGTCCAAGTTCCTATTTCTTTATGCATATAACAGGAGGCTGGAAAAATGAAGATTTCTTCTTAGAAAAATTGAGAAACTAGAAATGGAGATGATAGCATCTCCAGTAGTGAAGGGGAAAGATATCCATATGTTCATGCTGGCCCATTTTACTTATATTGCAGAACTGTCTTGAAGCCATGCTGTTTGCCATCCACAGCAACATTTTGTGAATAGTAGTACAGGAGTAGAGACGGGAAGTGGACACAAACTAAACTGGGGCCATGATATGGGGCAGACAACATTGCCTTGGGCTACACTTATCATTCAGCTCCAGCTGTACCTGTTATTTGAGAGAGGGGATCTTCCTCCAGATGCAATTAAGCAACCTGTGTCAATCAGATATGTGAACGTACAGTGTGCTAGGAGGAGGTTTTCCACTTTTTTTTTCCTTTTTTTTTTTTTACAACTTTTAATTGCCTCTATCCCAAATTGGGAGGGGAAGGATGAGAGGAAGGATTATGAAAATTTTCCTGATTTTCAGGAAAGACACACAAAATGATTCAGTTGCCAGAGAGCCTTTACTTCCTTAAATGACCTCTAAATATGATGTAACAGGAAGATTTAGGTAGAATATTTACAGTATCCAATCTTATCAGAACCCTGTATGCAGAGGCCATGCTATATAGTACAGCTCTCAAATACAAGGTCAAGAATGCATTTCTTTTACTAAGAAATGCATTTCTTTTACTAAGGATCAATGATTTTTTTCATAATCAAAGCAAGGACTCAGTCCTTCTGTACTTAGGGACTTGCTTCTTCTTGTTGACTTCTGATCCAGATGTTGCTGGGTCTCTACTGGACCTCAAACTATGCGGTTTGAGTATCAGGGGAAAAAGCATACATTTATAAACAAACCAAGCTTAAATTGGTTTAATCTAAACTTAAAAGCTATTAAAAATAAGTTTTACATAGATTTCAGTGCTTCTCCAAATGTTTGCTTTTTTCCCCAAACAAAAATCAAGAGGTAACTGTGGCGGTGGTGTTTTTCCCCATTATTTTAATGCCTAGGCTTTTTCCTCACTCAGTAGAAAGATGGAAGCCTAAAGTTCTTTTCAAGCATCCTAGAGATTTTTATACCAAAAGTCTAAAGCCAGGCTAAATCCAGATATACAGTAAGCTCCATATATGAACAAATGAGATATTCAGAAAGGAAGACCTTTCTCTTATAATTCACTTATCTTAGAATGTCGGTAGTGGTGTAACAAGACATTTTCCTGATCGTTTCCAATCCAAATTGGAACTGCTTATTTCATGAACAAGTGGGAAACAAATAATTTAAACACTCATAGTCTAGTTTGGAGAGAAATAAATTTGACTGTAGAGGAGATGGGAAATAGAAAAAGGAAAAACAGAATGGAGGATCTCAGAAGAGGATATTTAACTTCCTAAATAGGAGCTTCCTCTCTGAAAATATTTATTTCAGGCCCCAGCTGAGAGATAAAATCATTATATGCAATTCCAATTCTCTTTTCACAGACTATTTTTGTTTCACCAAAACTAGATGCTAATACTGTCATTTGAAAGACTTTTCTTGCACTGAAAATTTGACCTCTAGCCTTAAATATATACCTTTTTTTTTTGTTTGTTTGTAACAGAGGTAAAATAATCTGAATGCTTTTTTCCTACCTGAGGAAAAGTTTCAGAAGCACTAATATTTTATTCAGCTGAGGTTACCGGCCTGCTTTTATGGGGGGCATATGCTTAACTTGTTTTAAACCTTGCATTATTGTATTTTTATAATAATATTCCAGAATCATAGATATTGTTATTCTAAAACAGTGTATCTTTAATTACAAGTGCCCATCCAGGCAGACAGTATGTTCCACTTCAGAATACGCATGAATCAAAATCTAAAGTATCTTGGTGCATTGCAAACCAAACAGATGTCTTGAATAATCACTCTCGTAACTTACTTCAGGCATCATCTCCTCAATGAAATGAATTGTATAATCAATGTTAAATCTGATTACTTTACACAGAGGAATCTAGAAAGAGACAAAGAAACATGGAACACTTTTAAGGGGCAGTGCAATCAACACTCTTAGAGCATCTGCTGTCTTCTGATCAAATATAATGGTGTTGCATATGTAAAATAAAGTTTATGATCACCAGCTGGCAAATGGCATTGAAAGCAGGAAGGATAAGGAGGTGATCAAATGCTGCCATCTACTGGAACTTTAAAGCAGATGCACCAAAGAGATTGAATGAATACAAGTAGGCCCTACAATGAGAATACCTACACTGCAGAGGGAATACAGAAAAGCTGTTCACAGAATTTATGATACTTCTAATCCATCAAATAATTTATATTTTCAGAATTTGAGATGTAAATACAATTATAGGATACAGATCATTTAATAACACTGGTGAGCATCTGCTAGCAACGAAATACTAATATGTTTTATTACATAGTATTTACTTTGCTTTAAAAACTTCACATCAACATTTTGATCTTAATATCACACAAACAGTACTGTGGCTTATCCAATCGTCACCCCCAGACAGGAGTTCCCAAGTGTTATGCTCCTGTGATCCCTAAATATGAAAGCAAGCTCTGTGCCCCCCATATTGAGGTTCGGAATGGGCAAGAATGAAATAGACCACCTACTTTAAATCCCATCATTACATTTTAATCTATATTTCATAGAGGTTCGCAAATTGGTGCAGGCAAAATAAAGAACCAAGACCAGAGCAAGTTTTGACAGTCAAAACTCACTCTGCTTTGGCTGAGCAAGCCTGCAGCCAGTTTACAGGCAAGGTTTGACAGCTTGTAAATCCCTTGCAGAGGCGGTGGTGGGAGATGGGGGAGTGTCCCAACTCCCAGTCCGAGAAGCCCTGCTGGAAGGCATTAGCTAAATTAAGGTTTGACCAAAATCTTAACACTCACAGTTCATGCTCTTCAAACAGCAGAAAACCAGCTCTCGTGGTTTAATTACAAAAGGCCAACAATCTTTGGCCACCCTATCACACAGCTTATAGCTGAAAGAGATCTCAAAAGGCACTGAGATGCTAGCTCAGGCTGGGGAAGCGGATGCCTTTTAATAAAATGCATCCACCTGAAAAGTTGGTACCAGAGTCTTTCTGATTTTACTCTGTGGTGGAACTCTCTGGCCGCAGAAGTGCAGTTTTGGCTAAGGATTGTTATTGGTGTTATACTATCTGCCAGAATACCTTGGATGAGTAGTAGTTTAATTGATGCCTCCAATAATAGTAACAACAGGAGGAGGAGGAGAAATAATCAGTACGGATTCTGGGATATGTTCCTCTGCCATCAATCTGTTTATGTAGCATGTGTTTAAAAGAGAATTGAGAAGATGCTAAACCGGCTGAATGCGCTCTCTTGCAAATGAACAGATGGATGTTTTAGGAAAGGTTATCCTTCTTCAGAGAAAGTCCTAACAAGGCTCTAGAGAAGTTTACATCCCAGGACCAAAATGCTCCTCTCTGCAGAATATATACTTCTGCAACAAAACTGTTTACCTATTTAGAAATGCACCATTTCATCAAACAAAGCGGTTAGCAAAACAGCTATACGGAATATGGGCCAAAGTGAGAAACTCAAATGAATCCAAGGGAGATTGGAAATCACTCTTATGATTAACTTTGGGGAAGTACTGGCTTTCCCCCTCCAGCCACCTTACACATTTCAATTTGGCAGTAACCTGAGAAGTAATAAAACGGAAGTAAATAGCCTTGTTATACAAAGCTGTATTATTAAGGTCTCTTTATTCCAAAACGATTTATTCTGCCGGGCAGCGGTTCTTCGGTCCCACAGAAAATCTCCTCTGGAAGTAGGTAGTAAAGCCCTGAAGAGATGGTGGGGAATTAATTGGGCTGTGCAGGCTTAGAAAAGAATTTGGAAGAAATGCTTTGGGCCTTACTCTGCTATTCATTAAAGCAGCCCAACTTTTTTCAGACCCCTGCGTGAGGTTGTGAACAAATATGCCACTCCTTTAAGAATCCACTCATTCAAATTAATGCAGGTCTTAAAACACTGTCACCTCTTCTTCAGGCCGATGCACGAAGCCCAAAGCACTCCTCCCGAGACATTTCGGAAGCATGCATAGCCCTAGGAATTAAGCCGAGTCTCGTTTATGTGCCAGGGCAGACATGTAAACGCTGCAGGAAACCACCAGAATATAAAAGAAAGCGTACTTACATTTGTGAGTGGAGCGTGGGAAAACATGGAAAATCCCTCAAAAATGTATTCGTGGTCATCATACTCTATGACGGTGGGTCTGTCTGTCTAAAGAAATAAAATCAAAAGCTGGGGAGAGCCGTCCTGGGAGACTTCAAGTGAAAAAGGCAGCTTTGTGGCTGCCATCATGTCGCAGATCACTTACTAAGAAGTTGGTAGGAGGCGACACTGTAATGCGGTAGTGGAACAATCTTCCAGCATTGTTGGTCATAGGGCGACAGGGTTTAATAGGCTTTAAGGAGAGAAGAATATAGGAAGAAGTCATGAAGGATGCTTAATCCCCACAAAAGAGGAGTAGAAAAATCCTGCTTGCTCTAAACCGGCCTTCCTTCATGTGGATCCTTTCAAACCTCTGGACGCTCTGAATCCCCAGCCATTGCTGAGTATTGCTGACATCCACACATCTAGAGGGAATCCGGGCTGGGACAGGCTGCTCTAAAGAGCCCCCAGTGTGAGTGGCTGGACTGAAGCAGAAGCAATAAAACTAAGGTCATGTTTATGCTAAGCAGGAGGAGAAAGGAAAAGAATGGGCCTTGCTTCAGGAGACCTGATGGGAGTTGCCCGTTTTGATGCTTCCCTACATTAAAAAGTTCTAAGTAAAGATTACTGCACTGACTCAGCTCTTCTCATCTGAAGCGAGTGGCTATGCAACTAAGGCATTATCAGAACTGCACATCTGGAAAGCTCCAAGCTAATGAAGGCTGGACCAGCATATCATCCCCTGCTAGATATGTTTTCTTCATGCAGGTTGCCTTCAAAATGCCAGTTGTTCTCCTCCCAGCTATAGTCTTCCAAATACGGCTAAAATATTCCAGCAGCCCCCGAAAATAACAATAAAATAATAATAATTTATTAAAATGCGTAGGCTGCCTGACTCTCAAGGAATATGGCCAACGGCGAGAAATGCTGAGAGATACAGCTCTCCGCGTCTGCGGCAACAGAAAACAAAGCAGAGTTTCATTTAATCCAGTCTGGCAAATCTGTTTGTAGCAAGCCATGTCCATAAGTAACTCTTCTCCACTGAGAAACTAAAACCCAGTTACCTCTTCTCCAGGATAGATGCCATGTCTTATCCCTGTTCTCCTGGCTTTGGCACTACATTTGCAAAGAGGCCCATCGTTCATCTGTTTTAAAAGAAAAAGGGTTAAAGTGATACTGAGTTGAACTGATGAAAAAGATGAACATTTAAATATAAGGGGCAAACATTCGGACTTCAAGGGCCACACTTCTTTTTAAATAATGTTTCAAGTGACTGCATATGGGGGGGGGCAACACTCTAACAGCATAACTGGAGAGATGTAATTATATAAACTCATTTTTCCTTTTTTTTTTTCTTTAATAGGGAAGCTTTTTCTAGATACAGTAAGCCCACTCAGAACGTAATGCATCGATTTGTTCTTGTTTTATTATTTTATTTCGTTCCCCACCAAAATCAGGATGAAATCACATCGCTGTTGTTATGTGAACTGCAGCAAAGGCTGATAGAACAATACCAGGAGGTTGAAATGTGATCCATTTAAGAGAATTACCATGTCTGGGCTGCAGAAGTCCAGAAGACAAGCAGGTGGCAGCAGAAGGAAAGAATTTTCTGCATCTTTTTGCTACCATCAAGTGATCATCTGGACTTCCCCTGCTCAGACACAGTAGCCCTAATTTAAAAACCTAAGGCAATACCCAAAATAGAGCCATTTTTTAAAATTTGAATTTATCTGAACACTGCTGAATAGAACTGTTATTCACCAAACTATTTTTTTTTAAAAAATGGATTATAGTACTTCCCAAACTGTGTCCATTTTAAAATTCATAAATGGAACTGGTCAGAATGATACCCATAACCTCTATTTTTATTTTTATTTTTTGGTGAGAGGGCTTATTGAATGCTTACAACCCAATTCTAGCCTAGGCTTCTTGACAACACAGTAACTTTCCACCTAAAACGAGGTTTGACATTAGAAAACATTCCTACCTGAATTCCGAGGAGATTTTTAATCTGCAGATGATAACATTATATGTTTTTTTCCTGAAAGGTCCAGTTATTAGCCTCTCTAATGAAAAATACTAGAAACCAAGGCAGACTATTATTCTATTTAGTTCAGGGCTGGGCTCATGGGGGCTCCAGGGACATTTGTTAAGCCCTTTTTCCATGCCCCCAAGCTCCACTGGGCCACAATTGCCCAAAATACCGTAGGCAATATGGTGTCCCACCTTTTTACAGAAGGAAGCACATGAAAAATATAAGCTAAACACTAATTGAAGCCTCTACGCTTTTCTTTTGGGGGGAAAAAAACATGATTTCTCCTCCAAAATCTATTTTGTCTGCACACAATTTCTCCAGCACCTTCTTTATTCAGACTTTAAAGTGCACCACGGCATACTTGCTAACAACAGCTTGATGATCCACAAAGCAACAATATTAGGGAAAGAAAAAGATGGTCAAAGGAGAATATGATTCTTATAAAGACAGAGGTGGAAGATGGTGTTTTTGGATACAGCTTAGTATTTGTTCTCTGGACACATTTCAATTTCCTGTACCTTCAACTCTACAGGAACATGGACAAAATTAGAACAAAATATAGTGTTCAAAATTAAACTGGGCCTATTGAATACCATCTTTCAAGCCGCATTCAACGTATCAGAGTAATTTAGCATACGCTTTCAGAATGGAAAAAAAAGAAGTATGTAAGTTGCTAAAATTGCTGTTCTTACATCAGAAGAGTAGGCAAGTCTATGATTTCTCCTCAATAAAAGTGGCTGACCTTTCCAACTTTATGCATGCAGACTATATCCCTATTATTTGCAAAGCTGGGTTTAGGACACATAAGCAATATGCCAGCAATTTTAAGTGCTTGCCTTCCTAAGAGTTGTTTGTTTTAAATTAAATGAAAGCAATACACAATACACCAGGATGCCTTGATACATGGATGCAACCAAATGAAAAAGGATGCTAACACAATTTACTTCATTAGCTCTTGTTTGCTCACAACCTTTGTATTCTTTAGATTAGGGCAGCATTAAACATCTTGGGGTTTTAATTTAAACGGTCTCGTCCTATTTAACTTGCTTTTGGGGCAGTCAAGGCCAGCTTCCATTTAAATTGAGAAGTTCCATTTAGATTTAAAGAATAACGGGGGACAAAAATGGATACTGGAAGAAAACAGACATGGAAGAAAAAGAAAGAAGTGGAAGAAACTAGAGAAGGACGTCACTGTCATACTGTGAACTTGTAAACAACTGGACGTAAACCATAAGTAAACATTCAAAGTTGCAGAAAGATGCTAGGTTTAACTTTCAGCTTTGTACTATGTAGAGCAGGGGGGTTTAGACTGAAGTCCATGGATCCCTTGGGGGTCTGTGGGTAGATTTCAGGGGTCTGTGAACTGGGATGGGAAAAATATAACAACTTTATTTTCAACTTTAATTGAAATTTAGCTTTTAATTTAATAATGAATATATGCAACGAAGTAATTTATGCCTCTAGACTCCAAAAAAACTTCAATCAACCTCACTATTTAAAATTGTTGTACCCTAAAAAAATGAAATGTGAATACATTTGGTGTGTGAAGTACATTTTTCTCCAAAAGCATGATTGATAATGTTCAACAGAGTTTGCATTTCAAAGGTTCTTTTGTAGCTAAATATCCATGCTTGCCATTATTTTGATAACTGAATTTAAGTATAATTGGTTTCCTTTGTAATACAATCTGTATCCATGCATTTTATTTTATGCATTTAAATTTATTTTTCTAAGAAGGGGTCTATGGCACAAAAAGGTTAAGAACCCTTGACATACGGGTTGTGTTCTCTTCTGTTCACTTACAGATTCATTGAAATACGCAATTTGACAGGAGTACCCACATTTTTGCATGCAGCTATGAGTTAATCTCCCAAAAAAAGGAAGGGAAAATGAGCATAAGGAAAGAGAATATAATCCAAAATGCTCCTAAAAACCACTGAATCTACTAGCTGGCTAGCTTTTGCTGTAAAAACTTGCTTGTAGCTGTTCATCTTTGACATTTGCATTACATTTTTAACCAGTAATGACTTTCCACTGGCAATCATGTCTAATACTTGAACTTGTTCAGTTCTTTGGGCTTAACTTCTAATTACAGGTAGTCCCTGAGTTAGGACCACTCATCAGCGACTGTTCAAAGTTACAACAGCACGAAACGAGAGGGACTTATGAATGGTCCACAAAGTTGTGGCAGCTGCATCATCTTCATGGTCACATGATTGCAATCTGGGTGCTCAGGCGCCTGGCTCACAATTACAACATCGCAGCAAGCCACAATCACGTGATCGCCATTTGCGACCTTCCCTTATGGCTTCCCACAAGAAAGTCAATTGTGAAGCTGGCAGGGAACCTCCCATAAGTCACTCCTACTGCTTTTTCTCCCAAGGAGCCTGACTATGGAGTACCCAGAGAGATGTCTTTCGAAAGATTATTTGCTTTACTGAACCTAGTATAGAAGGCAGGCAATTTTTTTAAACAAACAAACAATAAACCAGGCCCAAGGCTGAATTTGTACCAGAGTAGTCGATTTATCAGGTCAGCAGCACCCGTAATACTTAACAGTGCTCCAGCTTGGTAAGTGGGACCAAGTGTCCCAGGTTGATAAGTGGGACAACCCACCCAGGTTCAAACTGCAGGTGGGACCATATGAGACTTGAGTATAGAAACAAACAAATATCTTCCAAAGAGAAAGCTAATACTTCTTCTAGACATCTAGTTATCTTTCATCTTTACGGAAGGTGGGATGGAGTGGGGTTTTTTTTGGGGGGGGAAGGAACTTTCAATCTTGGGAGCTCCCCTCCAATGCCCCCCCCCAAAGTATTCTTATCTTGATACAGAACCACCTAAGCAAAAAGTAAACTTGGAGCTACCGAAACCAGTGCAGCAAATGAGTCACTACTGAAGTAAGTCTCACTCCTTGTGGCTTGAGGTGAACCGGCTAGTATACAGCCTTGGGCTCCCTTTCTCAAGTGGAGTACCTGTCCAGGATCATTGTACCACAGCTCCTCATGCAGACGATCAGGGTGGGCCTTTTTCCGCTTAATTTCAGCAATGACATCAAAAACTTCAGAATCAGAACTGCTGGAGCAGCTGTCATCTTCTGAGTCACAATCAGAATCACTGGAGCTCCCTGTGGTCACCAAAAGACAACAAAATGGGAGATGAAGAAAATTGTCTACTCATTTGGGTCCTAGAAAGTCTTACATGAGCCAATGGTCAACCAATGGCCTTTCATTCCAGAGGCAAAAGGAAGTGGACACACACAGAAAAGGCACTCAGATAAGGTTTTCTTTGAACCAACACAACTCACTCACTCACTCGTTTATTAAATTTGATGCCACCTGACTGAAATGACTCTGGGCAACTCACAGTATCAAACAAAAAACAAATTAAAAACACAGTAAGATATAAAGAAGCATGGCATCTGACCACTCAATGAAGAACTTGTATAAAAATTCATCCAGTAAGGGGTCCCATCCTCCCTAACCCACGGCCTGGGACAACAGCCATCGGGTGGGAGTCACACAGATTTCAGGGAGGATTTCATTCCAGAGGGCGGCCGCCATGACAGAGAATGCACACAACCTGGGTCCCAATAAATGATATCGTTAAGCTAGGCAGAAATCATGGGAGATAAGTGGTCCCTCAGATAACCTGGCCCTATGCCATGTAGGGCTTTATAGGTGATAGCCAGCACCTTGAATCGCACCCAGAAACATACTGGCAACCAGTGCAGCTCATAAAGCAGAGGTGTCACATTGCCACATCGCTGCATTTGAAGCAGTTGAAACTTCCATGGCCTTCAAGGGCAGCTTCATGCAAAGCACACTGAAATAGTTGAGCCTTGGGGCGATGAGGGCATGATTGACTGTCTAAACAGCTTCCTGATCCCGGAAGGGGTGCAACCGGCATAGAAGATGGAATTGTGCAAAACCTTCTTAGCCACAGCTGCTACCTGCTCTTCAAACAGGAGCTGTAAATCCAAGAAGACCCGCAGATTGTACACTTTTCTTGAATAGGGAAGTGCAACTAAGATTCCAAGATTAAAGATGGAAAATCCCTGGATATGGGGGCTCTAATACCCACAACCATTTAGTTTGGTAGGATTAAGTTGAAGTTGGTTTCTCCCCATCACACAGCCTCCAAGTACTGGGACAAGACCTCAACTGCATATCTTGGCCAGCTCAGGGTCAAAGATATAATTGAGTATCATCAGCATATTGATGATACCAAACCCCAAATTGACAGATGACCTCGCCCAGTAGTTTCATGCAGATGTTAAACAGGCTTCTATTAAATGAAGCAGACATTGCTCCAAAGGCCCAGTCAAAGCGTATCAAAAATAAAGCAGAATTGAGTTGTACTTTCTTTGTTCTTAGTAGTCTCTCTTAAAATAGACAGATCATCATAGGACTCATTCACATTTGCTCATGGTCAATATCAGTATCAGTCATTTCTTGCATCCAGCCTTTCATAAAACTGCCCTCACATGTAGAGAATGGAATAAATGGAATGGATAAAAGAAAAGAACAAAATTATAGCTGGAATGATAAACCAGAAAGTTAGTGTGCGATTAAAATTCTTTTTAACGATTCTGTAAAAAAAAGTATGAATCATACCATGAATGTTTTTATCAATTTAACTATGGCAAAAAATTAAGAAAGAACTGCTGCAATAACATGGATATTGACTTGAAATGAACCTTTTCTAAAAATTGCAAGTATTAATTTGTCATGACAAATTAATATGTGACAAGTCTTATTAAAGTTTAGTGACAAGGCAAAAATACAATAAAAACGTTGATATTATATGATGGGGAGAAGGAGAGATAATTATCCACCTTAAAGTATATTTTACAAATTCTATTAACTGGATTAGTGACTGAGAATTTGAACCTAATAGTTGTAGTTCTTAATTTGAAATTTTTAAAAAAGATAAAAGGTCCACTATAAAAAACGTTATCCAAATGCAAATGAAAAGGAATATTCTTTGATATGCATCTGCGGCAAAGAATAATTTTACTACTGTAACTAATAAGATTTTGGAGCAGGTTACTCATGTCTGCAACTCCCAGTGTTAATGTCTAAAAATGGGAATAGAAAACCTGTGGTCCTCCACTTCAAAGTGAGGTGACATGAAAAGAAAGGAAAGAAATAACTGCACAAAGAGAGAGAGCACAATCCTGCCATGCTGGCTTTGATACCCATCCCTGACATGTGGCCCTCAACAAATTACTGCAGGAGGAGTGCAAACCTTAATTGGTAAAAAAAAAAAAAGGTCAAAGGTCTATGGCCCAAAGACATTGGGTCCACCTCATCTTCAGAACATGACATCTCCTTGTATTTCAAAAAAAGTGTCACAGCCAATGCCATTTTCTGTCATGAGAAAAATAATCCAAAATTCATTCTCGTCTTCTCGGGCATCACAGACAATACAGAGAATGATGACAGGCTTTCTTGTCTTATTCCAGCTTCCCACAGCAGAGAAAAAGGTTGAAGAAACAGATACTTAATATGGGATTGGAGGGCACAAAGGAAGTCCTCCAAGGCTGAATTTGACTATCCCTTCAAGAAAGTAGAAAGATCTTCCTGGAATATACAGGCTTTACCAATATGATACTTACCTACATCTTCATCCAGTTTGGTCTTGGGTGGCTCCCATGGAGGCCTTGCAGCTTTAGCCTTTGCTTGACGCTTTCCTAGCTCTTCTTCAAATTTTTCATACAAATCTCTGAGTCGGCTTGTTCCCACAACCGTGGAATCCCCCTTGCAAACGCAATCATGGGAAAACAAAAAAGTTACAACTATTTTGAAAGGATAAGGATCTGCTGAAAGCAATCTGCCTTTTTGAAAACAATCTCTCATGTTAAAGAGAAATCATGCAAATCATTTATATCAGGTGTTAGCATGTAAGCAGCAACTTAAAGATAGATATTCCACAACAGAGGAATATTTGACATCCATCCAGCAGTGATCACTAGTGTAGAAAAATAAAAATGTGGAAGAATTTTCTGTTCCACTCAGATAGACATCACAGAACATCTGCTCTCTGTGGCCTTGCATCCCCAAGATAAACATGCACAGTAGCAAAAGCATTTCCAAATTGTAAATAGCAAGCAATTCGTGTAAATTGTTCTTTTTGTGAAATAATCATAAAATCCCATTTACAATGAGGTGCAGTCAAATGCAGCCAAATATGTGCCGATGACTGATGGGTAGGACTGCAAGATTTCCTTATCCATAAATGCTTTCCATGATTGCATACTATAATACAGGTAGTCCTTGCTTACTGACTGCCTCATTCAGCAACTGTTTGAAGTTACAATATCGCTGTCCCTCAGTCATGTGATCGCCATTACAGTCAATATGCGTTGTCCTGCGCCTGACCTGCTGTTTTACTTTTTCTCCCCACCTTGCAGAGCGGAGAAATTGGAGAGGAAGGGATTACAAGAGAGTAAGTAGGCACATAATGGGGAATACAGTGGCTGTTTGTGAGTGTGCTCACAGTGCCAACATATTGCTTTTGATGTGTATTTCCCATTGTATGCCTCCCTACTTTCTTGTAATCCTGCCCTTTCCAATTCTCCACTCTGCGAGGGGGAGGAAATAAACAATTTCTGTAGGCAATCTCTCCTGCATCTGACCCGTTTCCCCCCCACTCACAGAGCGATTGGAGAGGAAGGGATTACAAGGAAGTAAGCAGGCACACAATGGGGAATACACTGGTCTGTTTGCATAGTGCACTCCCAACTGCCAGTATATTCCTTTTGATGTGTATTCCCCACCTGATGTATGCCTGCTCGCTCCCTTGTAATCCCTTCCTCTCCAATGAATGTAAATATAAACATTAATCCCCTTCTTGCTAATTATCCCAGCACTGGTGTGAAAGGGTGGGGGAATGGTTAGGAGGCAAACAAAAGGAGAAGGGGAAGTTTTAAGCTGGCTATGTGAGGGGGGGCATTCCAAAGGGCAGGGGAGTGGGGAAAAGGAAAGCACAGTCACAGTCACATGATTTCCCACTTAGCGACCACTTCTCTTAGTAATGGAGTTGCCAATCCCAATTGTAGTCACTAAGTGAGGACTACCTGTATGTCATCAAAGCAGTCATTCCATTTCATTCTGTACCTAGTTAGACTTCATCTGGAGGACTGCATCCATCCAGTTTCAGGCATAACTTTTTAAAAAGGATAGAGAACATATTTAGAGGGAACCGAGGAAAGAAAGTACTTTGAGGAACTGTTGAAGGAATTGTGCATACTTGAGCAGTGTTTTTCAACCTTACCAACTCTATGATGTGTGGACTTCATGCTGGCTGGGGAATTCTGGGAGTTTAAGGCCACACATCATAGAGTTGCCAAAGTTGAGAAATACTGCTCTAGAGTGAGGGGAAAACATAACAGCACTCTTCAAAGAGATGCCAAACAGAATAGGGGCAAGATTTGTTCTCTACTGCACCAGAGGACAGGAAAGGATCCAATTGTTACAACTTATATGAGGGTAGCTTTTGAAAGGATATCAGGAGAAACCTCTTGATGCTGGAACCTATTAGAAATGATTTGAGTCTATCTCACTGGAAGTCTCCAAGCGGAGACTGGATAGCTATCTGTTAGAGATGCTATAACCCTGGATGTTCTGCAAGGGAATGGAATAGGATACCCAAAATGTCCCTTATAGCCCCAACATTCTATGATTCTGTTGAGGCATCTTTCTGTTGTAGGAGGATGTTTATTCACTTATTTATTGAATTTCTATATTGTTGAACTCCAGAAGTGACAATTTCCACACTTATGATCTCAGTAGAAATAGAACAAGAGCTTATGTCCATGCTGTCGTCATCCTCATCATCATATGAATCCCAGAACAGATGCAATGGTACATGAGAATGACCTTGGGAGACAGGAGGAAGAGCTGCAGCCTAGACAACAGTCTGATAAAAAAAATCTGAGTCTGAAGGAAGGGTGGGGGTGGAGAAAGCATCTCAGAAAGGACCCTCCCTAGTTTTGGGGAGAGTAAAAGTAAGGGAGGGAAGAGGTATTTTCAGACTTGCAAGATTTTGTTATGTAACCTTACAGTATAGGTAGCGTTAGTACTCATGGTTGGTGCTTCCTTGTCTGGACTACATCGAAGGGCTGACAACAACATCTCTCCTGACTCATGCAAAGCAGAGTTATCAGAAAAAAGTTTTTTAGAGGGGATATGCAAAGTGTTTTGTAACCAGACTGTTCCATGGACAGAATTTTAGGTTATCTGTGCTTGGATCAATTCATGTATGTTTTGTCTGGACACAAACTTGGAACATGTATATTCAGTCCATGCACTTAGGCTGGTGCAAGAAGGGTGAGAGAGAAAAGGAGATACATCAGCCTTACTCTAAGTCCCCTCCAGATTTGGTCTCAGCCAAAACCCAAACAATCAAAATGAAATGGCCAAGCCTAAATTCAAGACTACAATGTATTACATGTTTCATGCACAAAATATATTTTTATTTCATGCGTATCCCTAGTTTGTATGTCTGCAAACCTGAAAATAAGCACCATGCAATGTTTAAAATGATATCCTGAATTTCTCCCAAAAGTGGTATTCACAAAAATGGTCTATAGATCAAATGCAAAATTACAACCAAACCCTTAAAATCAAATCAATTTTACAAAAAGAATCAATGTGGATATTTTAACCGCTGATTTTTTTAAAAAACATACATCTGATTTTTAATTGTAACTACAGGTTTTAAAAACTGCATTTTGCTAAAGAATATTGATCTTTAACAGAGAGATACATTACAGTCTGTTTTCATAGTTGCTTACCAACACACTATTGAACACTAGGGGCAATATGTGATCCTGAAGATCAAACAGTTTTATTCAAACCTTTTCTCCAACTACTTCCTTGTTTCAGAAAAACAAAGCTCTTTTAATAAATGACTGTGGAATCCAATATGTGATACAGCTGTATAGGAAAATTTCTATTACTCTAGATGCCTCTAGGTTTAAAGACTGCAATTCTGTAGCCACGTACCTGCACCATCTTATTTACTTTGTATACAGAGAAAACCAAACAGAGATCTTTAATTACTCCCACAAACAAATACAAGCTCTAATTTAAGGCATGTGAAATGCACAAATACAGGTAGTCCTTGTTTAGCAACTGCCTCATTAGGCAACCATTTGCAAATATGATGGTAATAAATGATAGGAAAAAAATCATTTTCCAACCATTACAGCCATGTATGCCCAAAATTCTGTGCCTGACAATAATGCATGCGATGAGAGTAATGCTGGTGATACTGCATGAGGGAACTTTATCTAAATGAGATGGCAGCAGCCAGTGAACTTCACAGTGTCACTCTCTTTCTCTCTGTCACATGGTTCACTTAACGACCATGTCACTTAGTGACCATTTTGCCAGAATCAATTGTGGTTGCTAACTACCTGTAGAGGGCCTGGATTATGCATCTAAATAGTGTAAACAACAGATCCTATTTGGTTGCAAAGAGATGCATTTGAATGTTTACAGTACAGTGGTGCCTCGGTTCACGAACGTTTCTGTTCACAAACAATTCGGGTCACGAACAGCTCCGTTCGCAAAATTTTGCCTCCGTTCAAGAACGCCGGATCGGGTTATGAACAGGATCCGCGGCCATTTTCCCTCCCGTGACACATGGTCGCGGCTTCCTGTAGGGAGGGGGACT